ACTTTCTTAATTACATTTTAAACATTTCTCTTGTACTATACATTTATATTATTTTATACAAAAAAAAATTTCTCTTTATTACATTTTTTTATTGCAATTTCATTTTATTACCAAAAAAAAAACCAAATTTATTTTTTCAATCTGATCACAATTAGAAAACCAAGAGTAGTATATGCACATGGTAGGACCACCACTAACCTAACGTAAACCCAAACACACGCAAGTAGAATGCCTGCACAATATTAAGTACCACTAAGATTCCCTAAACCACTAGGAAATGTCAACGACTAAAAAAACCCAAAAACACGCAAACCACACACGCAGTTCGCAATAGCTGTCAACGACTTTAAAAACCCAACCTTACACGCAAACCCAAGCAAATGTTGCAGTTCGCAATAGCTGTCAACGACTAAAAAAACCCAAACACACGCAAACCCAAACACTAACCTAACGTAATGTAAACCCAAACACACGCAAGTAGGATGCCTGCACAATATTAAGTAGGGCTGGTCATTTATACCGAAAACCCGACTGAATCGAATCGATTTTGGCAGGTTGGTTCGGTTTTTTAATTAAAATAATTGAAATCGGTAGAAAAATTGGCTGATCTGATTGTGAACCGAATCGGTTTAAAAAATTCATAATAAATGAAATAAAAATCCAAAAAATACACCGAAAATTGGTAGGAACTCATTGTGACATTCTTTACGCTCTAAAAAAATACACTATTATTAAAGTGAAATCCAATGAGTTAGTAGCTTGATTGCTTGATTGCTTAGAGAATGTCACAACGAGTTAGTAGGACTTTCCGGTGTATTTGTTTGATTTTTAATTTATTTGTTATGAATTTTAGAAGTGAAATCCAAAACAAATATTATTAAACTATAGAGAATCACTTGTGGCTGCAGCTGAAAGGAGTGCAGTCATTGTTTTCGACAAGTGGCATCCTACGATTGCACCACATGTCACTTTGTTCACTTTTTCCAAATTTATTTTTAAAAGTCATAAAAAATTAATTAAAAATCAGAAAAATACACCGAAAATTATTACAAACTCCTTATGACAGTGTCTTTGACTATGAAGGCCTAAATTATTTTTATATTATTATTTACCCTAAATTATTATTCTATTACTTTTTATCCTAAATTGTTATTATATTGTTTTTTACCCTAAAATGTTATTATATTACTTTTTACTGTGAATTATTATTATATTATTATTTACCCTGAATGATTATTATATTACCTTTTACTCTAAATTGTTATTATATTGTTATTAACCCTAAATTATTATTATATTATTATTTACCCTAAATTATTATTCCTAAAAAATCAAGCAATACCACGGCACTACAATGGCAATACAAAGGCAACTGGAGGCTATATAATGACAATACTAGGGCAATAGGAGGCTATACAGTGGCAATAGTCCCTCTTATGGGGGCAATACATGGGCAAAATACACAACGTATACAATGTTATCTCTTTAATGTATAATATAAGTAAAAGTATTTTTCCATTGTTCTCTAGAAAAGAAGTATTTTTCTATGGCACACACTTGCGGATATAAAAAGAACAACAAATTCAAGACTGAAATTTCTCAAGTAAATTGAACTCAATTTCATTGAATGAGGACTAAATTACAAGACTAAAATATATAGCTCCTCAGTTACATGTTTTTTTCCCACATAATTACAGCACACTTCCTGTGACAGAATGGAACGTTGTTCCACGCCAAATTGATGATGGTTCTCAGTGACAACAATCTTTCATAAGTCAAAAATCTAAGTCCAACTGTCATTAAAAAAAAAACCCTGCAAAGGAGATGGCAAAACAAGAAATTAGCAAAAAGGAGAAACAAACACCAAAAAAACAAAATAGAAATTGAGACAAGAAAACCGCAATCAGAAACTAAAAGACCTAAGAAACTCATACTAATTGGCAAAGAGCTTCCTGACCTAGAACACCAACAAGAGAAAATTGGAAAAAATGGAACACATAAAGCACAAAGAAACTGTTAAACTAAATACGAGGGACATAACCTAACATCAAAACACCTCAAGAGGTGAACTTAATCAACCAACCAATAATCAATATAACCAAACAACATCCATAACATCAACACAGAACCAGATACAACTACAACATCCATAACAGCACTACACAGAATAATGAAACAAAAAAAAAACAGCCGCATTCCAATCCGATAAGATTGAAGAAAAGTAAATATCCCTATACAAAGTGATATTATGGGAACATGATTAGGAACAAAAAGAACCATTAAAAAATCATCAGATGGTTTGGCAAAAAATGGGGCAATGTGGAATTGTCTGACTCAAGAAGCTCCACATATACTTTATAAGCTTCCTAAAGAAGGCAATAGTGAACAGAACAACCAAAATTTTCTGAAGCAGTCCAATATTCTCCATTTTCTAAAAAATAAACAGATCCAACAAACAATTCCTGATAAAATAAAATTTTCCTGTAGTAGCAAACAAAAATTCCAATAAGGTCACCACAACAATAAGTAACATCCACCAGCGGGGACACCAAAACAATTCACTGCAATAGTAATCAAATATGGAGGTATGAATAACAACTCTTATAACTAACTGTGTTGAAGATAAATATGAACCTCCCAATATAATTTCACCACCACTAATTAAATAATGGGGTTTTATTATTTTAGGTTCGACCCATTCGAGACGCAAGTCTCTTAATTACAATTCCTTGCTTCAAGGGAAAACCCTTTGATTCCATCATAAAGAAACAATATGTGTGTGTTTGGTTTTGCGGCTGCTCCCAAGTCCAACCTCAGGTTGCCTACATATCACTCGCGGGAATCAAGCCACTCGTAGTTCAAAGAACTGCAATGAATGAATGACTCATTGCAAAAGGGAAAATTTGTATGAATTTGATTGAGAAAGTGTTTGAGTGAATTTAGCTGAATAAACCAGGGATTCGATTTTGATGTGTGTTTGGGGTGAATTTGGTTAAGAATAACCAGGGATTCTGTTTGGATTTGAGATTTGGGTGGTTGCATCTAGATTGAATCTCTAGATTACCTACGTACCCTTTTGAAGGGATCAAACCAACGTAGTTCGGAAAAGATTGTTTAATTTGCGTGGTTTTGTACCACTTGGGATTTTGGCGTGGTTTTGTACCACTTGGGATTTGGTGTGGATGCGGTTGCGTCTATTGAGATACTAGACTGTCTACGTACCCTTGATGGGATCAAACCGGCGTAGTTCCAAATTGATTTGGAAATTAATGGGTAAGTGTGGCCCACTAACTAAGAATTTGTGTCTTTGAGACAGTTTGGAGATTTTGACATTTCCATGGGTAGATGACCCATGAAGAAAAATTGGAAGTTAATGGGTAAGTGTGGCCCACTAATTGAGAATTTATGTTTGAGAGATTTGGCAAATTTGGTTAGAATAAACCAAGGATTCAAATTTGGTTGCGGTTGCGTCTATTAGTATGGTAGACTGCCTACGTACTCTTGATGGGATCAAACCGGCGTAGTTCTAATATTTGGAAATTAATGGGTAAGTGTGGCCCAATAATTTAGAATTTGTGTCTTTGAGACAATTTGGAGATTTTCATAGGTAGATGACCTATGGGAAAAATTGGAAATTAATGGGTAAGTGTGGCCTACTAATTGAGAATTTGCGTTTGAGAGATTTAAATTTAATCTCTTTGGAATTTGCATGGGTAGATGACCCATGAGAAAATTCGGAATGGTTTTGTACCATTTTTCTTATTGTCAATATTCGAGAAAAATAATGAGTAATTTTAATTATCTCATTGATTTTTTCATAAAATTGACATTTCTCCTTGGAAAAGTGTTTTGGCGTGGTTTTGTACCACTTGGGCTATGGTGTGGCTTTGCAAATTTGCCTAAACAAACACTCAAGTTGCTCTTGGCTTGTTGAGAGCGAGGCAACTGAAGCAAACTATTAGCATAGCCATGCAAGTCTTGGAGGCCACTTAGTTCGTGGCTGATTGATGAGGGGGACGTGGAGGTGGCAATCCCCGAGGATTGAACTTGTGTTGGAGATGCTTTGAAGGCATGGTCGAGAGACCCAACAATTTTGAACGGGTCTTGAGAGAGATGTGCACTATGCCAATCCCAATCAATTTGGGATTAGTGTCTTTACTCCAGCTGATCCTTTTATGGCTTGGTGCCAAAAGCAAATATCTTTTAATTTGATCAAGACACCCAAGGATAAAAATCCTTCTCCAAGTGAAGTATGAATTAGCCTCCCTATCGCATTGGAACCCCTTGAGCATCCAAGAAGGCAGTAAGCCCCTTGTCCATATAGGATTGGGCATTATGAAATTTTCCTTTAAAAGGCATGTGCACCGCAACTTTAAGGAACCAGCAAACAAAGCGATAGCTTTTGATATATTTGCTTTTCCAGACAAGCTCGTAGACTTCCCCAAGACATCTGCTGCATCATCAAAAGAAGCAGCAAATTGTTTCTTTCCCTCTGAGACATCTGCTGCAATTTGTCCTCTTGCTTCAGAAATCAAAGACAAATCTAGGTTGAGTATTTGTTTCTGCCTATTCTTCTTTTCTTTTTGTTTACTGTGGCAGAATCCCTTCCTATTGCCAATCTCTTTGTTTTTCACTCATATATTTTTAGTCAAAGTAGACCAAGCACAATCATCCAAGAGAAGGAGGGGCTGTGCGCCCCTTTTATTTTATTTTATTTCTTTTTTGGCTGCCTTCCTCTTTGTTTCGTCTCTTTGCAACTAAACACAAGAAGCAAACCCACCAATTTTCTTTTGCTCCGTTCTCTCTTCCTCCGCTGGCTCTTCTTCTTCTTTTTTTATTTTATTTTTGTTGACTTGCTGGCAGCAAGTGCTCATAGGGAGGCAATTCAATTGCCGTGAGGGAAACACTTTTATAATTATGTTATTATCTTGCTAAACTGACGATCAATACTTTGTTTGAGCACTTGGTCATGTTTTGTATTTGCCATAATGATAATTGGATGTATGTCAGGGAACCTCTGAGTTCTGCTCCATAGCCCTTTACGTTGGCGTCCTTGCAGTTCCATGTTCTAGGCATGGTGTCTAGTTGTTATCTTGGCCTTTAGAAACCTTGACCGAGCCCCACTTCAAAAATGGTATCAGAGCTTTAGTTTAGCACCTTAATAATATGATTATGATAATAAAGTACCTTGAGGACAGAAGTCAATCAACACAACTGATAAAAACCAACGTTTTATAATCTGTTAAAATTTTGTTAAGAACAGTAAACCCTTTGCATGTTTGGCCCTTGGTGGACATCTATTAGAATAAAAGAAAGGTTACAAGAATTAAAGAAACAGAAGGCTGAATACCAAAGAGAAATTAGGAACTTAGAAGAATTTATAAAATCACCAGAAGTAGGTAATTATCCTAGAAGAAAACTAGAAGCACAGAATAGCATAACAAGGAACCAGTATCATTTAGAAGTCTGTAAAGAATCCATAGAAGCATTTCAGGAACATTTAGGCATCTTAAAAGAAAAAGGTAGACTTAGATAAATTTATATGATAGAGTACCTTAATTTAGAAATTAGTGAATAACAACACATTAGTTTGTTATTTTCCACAAAAAGAACACAAACATCTATTACATAGCAGTAACAGTCCCTTAGAAAATAGCATAGTTGACCTTTTAATTAGTCAAGCAGAAAGTGTAAAATTTGAACATAATAAACATAATAGAATAGTTCAACAGTTATTAGAATATTTTCAGAAAAATTCCCTAAAAACAATTAGACAAAACTTAGAATATATAACATCTCAATTAGAAGATAATAATAGGAATATTCAAAGATTTCCCAGCAAGAAAGAAATCAAAGACCTCATAGATCTCATAGATAGCAAACCAAAACAAATAGAGCTTCAATCATTAGAAATTATTGAGCAATTAAAAATAGAAGTACAAAAAACATTAACTGAACAAGTAGAAAAGTTGCATAGTAAAATAGATAGGCTTTTAGTTTAATGACATATTCTAAAATTAATAATAAATATATCAAAGCTTTAAAAGAAGTTGGTGAACGAGATAAGGAACCAGTAGGTCTTACAGAATTTACAACATCTGTAGCAAGTAGTAATATCCCTATAAGACAAAATAATTTGATTATCCAATTCATCTTAAATCTAGCTGAAAAAGTAGATCAATTAGAAGAACATATAACATAAATTAATCAAATAGTGCACAAAACTACTTCTACACTACCTAAAGACTTAGTTGATAAATTAGAAAATTTAACCTTAGGAAATAATCCTTATAGAAGAAAAAGTAGAATAAATCCCTTTGATAATAGTAAATGGAACTCTTTAGAAGAAAAGGAAAAGAAATAGTTAGAACAGAAGATATATACCCTAGTGAACAAGAAGCACAAGAATTTCTTAGAAAAGGTTTTGAAAAATCTCAGAAAAATAAATATAACTTATATCAATTAGGAAGATTTGAAAATAGACATAGTATTGTAAGTAGCATTAGTCAACATGAAGTAAGTTGTATAGATAAAGAAGTAACTCTTAATTTACTTAGTAATACAGCAATAGAACATCTTAAAAAGTCACACTATCAACAAATTCATATAGGAACAATTATGATAGGAATAGCTGGACTCACAAGAGCACAAGTAGGAACTAAAGCATTAGTATACATATATGACGACAGATGGGATAACCATCAACAAGCGGCTATAGCTACAGCAGAAGTAGATCAATAGAAGCAAAACTAGTAGATAATAGCTTTTTAGAAGGAACAGAATGGATTTTACCCAATTTACAAGTAGCAAAAAATAGACAACCTGATAAGGCACAAATTTTTGAAAATCGTGTAGGAGAAGCGATTGTAAGATTTACTAATTATAAGCAAATAAATGATATAGAGGACTTAGAAAGCGAATTAGAAGAAGAAATACATATGGCATTTGATAATTTAGAAATAAATATGATTGAGCATAATTTTGATAATATAGTTGATAAACTCATAGATGACATAGAGCTCAGCCCCTAACTCCTTTGCCAAACGCAGGCCTGCAAGGAGTGCCTCGTATTCCGCCTCGTTATTCGATGCTCGGAATCGGAACCGTAGGGCGTATTCCACCATGACCCCACTAGCAAATACCAAAACAAGGCATGCGCCACACCCCTGTAAATTGGAGGCACCATCAACAAATAAGGTCCATTGTGGCCTGGTCGGGTTGGTGGGCAGGGCTTTATCCGATATGGTCAGCTCGGAGGCAGGGACTGGGTCCAAGGTCTTTGGTATGCTGGGGTTGTGTGCTGATGTTGTGAATTCTGAGATGAAGTCGGCAATGGCTTGCGCCTTCATGGTTGTGCGCGGCTGATAGGTGATATCGAATTCTCCCAGTTCTACCGACCAATTGATCAGGCGTCCAAAGGTCTCGGGTTTTCGTAGGACCAAGTTCAGTGGCTGATCAGTTAGGACTAGAATGGAATGGGCCTGGAAGTAGGGACGCAGCTTCCGAGCCGAGGTTATTAAGGCTAAAGCTAGTTTCTCAATTTCTGGGTATCGAGTCTCTGTATCGAGCAAAGCTTTGCTCACATAATCGACTGGGTGTTGTATATTAAACTTAGATTATGTAGACCCACAAGGATTGGAAAAAAACTATAGAAAGATGGGAAAAAGGATGTGTACATGCAGCATTAATGTTAGATTTTAGCAATAATAAAGATATGTTAAATTACTTTGAGCATACTTTAGATGGAATGGTTTTTGATTATTTTCAAGCATGGAAAACTAAGAATCCTAGAGAACATCAAGCAGCAAAAGAAATGTTTAATATAGATGCTTTTGTTAAATTAATTAAATATGAATTTTTAGATCATAATAGATTAGATGGTAGAAATGAACAAGAACAAATTAGAGCAATAAGGAATTTAGAACAATTACAAATATGTGATTTACAATATATTAGTGAATATACTTAAGACTTTTTCAAGTATTTAGGTAGAACAGGTAGAATTGATGATCTTAATTTATTAGATACTTATATGACAAAAATTAAAAGACCAATAGGAGAAAGAATTTGGAATGAATGGCAAAAACACCCTAGGAAACTAGATGTATCCATAGGAGCAAGAATACAACATGTATACAATATATTACGATCAGAATCAGAATGTAGTCAAATAAAAGCAAAAAGACAAATTAGAAAACAATTTTACATGAGTTGTAAAAATATAGATTTACCTAAACAATATGGATGTCATAGAAAACTTAGGCAGAAAAAGCCATATAGGAAGAGTTATAGAAAATATAGACCTTATAAACAACAATATAAATTTTTTAGAATTCAACCTTCAAAAACTTTTAGAAGAAGAAAATATATCCCTAAACAATTTAGGAAAAGAACAAATAACCCATGGATTAGAAAGTATAAAGTACCTAATAAAAGTACATGTAAATGTTATCTTTGTGGTGAAGTAGGACATATTAGACCTAAGTGTCCCAAATTAGGAAAGCAACCTAGAGAAAAAATACAATTAATCGAGCAATTTCAACTAGAAGATGATGAAGACTTAGAATCAATTTATAGTCTTGATGATAATTTAAGTGATAATGAAAGCATTTATAGTGTTAATGCATTAGACTCAGAGTCAGAATCAGATTACTCTAGTAATTTTGATAGTGAATTAGATGAATATATGTGTATGTTTGAAGAACAAACAGAGCATGAAGAATTTAAATATGTTAATTTAGGATGGCCTCAAGAGTGTAATCAATGTAAGAAAATAGTAGTAGAAAAATATTACACTAAGACAATAGTTTATTGTAAACCTTGTTTTTATAATAGATCAATAGAAATAAATACAGTTGAAATAATAGAAAACAATAACCAAAAGAATAGTTGTCCTAGTTTAGAAAAACAAAAGACTAGTTTGTTAATAACAATTAACTGTGAGTTAGAATTGTCAAAAGAAAATAAAATTCAAACAATAGCTATGATAGATACAGGAAGCACAAAAAATGTAATAAAAGAAGAGTTAGTGCCAGAACAGTGTTTTTACCATATCTGACCCTCCACTCATCCAACGACACGTGGATTAGGCGATCTCACACAAGGCCTCGTACAATCAGCATCCGGTACCGATGACATTGTCTCAAAGCCACAAACGATCACTAGTCTCAACATTGCCTGGAATCGGCACACGCTGCCGATTCTATAGAATCAACCTCGAAGTGCCCGCCCGAAATATCTAAAGACTCGTGTCAACCTCATAGGGCCCTCCCACGAGTCCCACATCGAAAGTGAGTACTAAGAGCACACAAAATGCCTCTTATAAATAGGCCCCTTCACCACAGTATAGGGGTAAGACTTTTCAGCTTGACTTTTATACTTTTATATGGTCAACAGCAAGAGCTCTTAGAAACAAACTTACTTTACCATCGGAGGGTCTTAGGCTGGTTCCACACCGGTTCCATAGACCTCACGAATCTCAACTCTCTTCTATTCAGGATCAGCATCCAAGGACAAGAAGAATCTGCATCTATCACTCAATCGATCTGCTAGATCGTCCTCACCACTTGTAAGTTGCACTCATCTCTATCCGTTCAGTTTTAGTGTCAACAAACAGTTTAGGCAAAAACTAGCTAGACTAGTAAGAATTATACAGTTTGATACAAGACCTGTATATTTAACACACTGTATTAATAATATACCAATTATGATAGAAAAACAACAATTTAATTTACCCATAACCTTTATATCCCCAGTAGGATCATATCCCTTTATCTTAGGATTAAATTTCTTAAAAAGTTTACAAGGAGGATTTTTATACACACCTCCAGATATTACATTTTTTAAGAAAGGTATAACCACAACTGATCAAAGTAATATATTAGAGTCTTACAATAGTATTAACATAGAAGACCAAAATTTTAAATACTATAATATGGAAGAATTAGAAGAAATAAATGAAGAAAAGATAGATAAACATAATAATCTAGAATATGATGATATAATATTTGATCATGAGTATCCAATTGTAGGAGAAATAAAGTCTTTAGAAATTAAGCAAATAGATAGACCAAAGAATTTAGAAGAATTGTTACAATTAGCTGAACAAACTAGAATCATAGGAGAATATCCCCAATTACATTGGAATAAGAATAAGATATTAGCAAAATTAGACATTATTAATCCAGACTTAACAATTAAAACAGCAGATATGCCTTGTAATTTGTTAGATAAGCAAGAATTTGAACAACAAATAAAAGAACTTTTAAACTTAAAAGTAATTAGACC